TCTACGCGGCTCCCGGGTTACCATGGGCAACTGCGTCATGCACGCCGGCGCCGCTGACGTCTCACGTCACCGCCCCCCCCGCCGCCGCGGTGACGCAGGCACGCAAGGACGGAACGTGAGCGCAACGGCGCGGGGAGGAGGGGGCGGGTCCCAGCCCCGCCCCGCCCCCTCCGGGGCTGTGCAGTGGGCGCATGCGTGTTGGGAGCTGGAGGCGGGGAGGCTGCAGGGCGCTGATTGGCCGCGGCGGGCCACGGCGGCGGCGCCCACGTGGGCTGGAGACGGGGCAGGTAAAAACGGGAAGCGCGTGCAAGGGGGGGAGGGGCTGTAGTGTGTTACACGTGGGGCCTTGCAGCGCGCGCTAGTGTCGTGCAGTGTGGCATGGAGCAGCACGTGCCCGTGATGCGCAGGTGGGCTTGTGCAACGTCAGTGCAGTGCAGCGTGGCCATGAGCAGCACGTGCCAGCGATGCCCGGTGTGGGCGCAGCGTCGGCTTTGGCAGTGCAGTGCAGTGCAGTGCGGGCCTGTGCGCCAGTGGTGCGTGGGGGGGGCCGCGCAGCGCCCGGGGCCAGCGTGGCTGCTTCGGCGGGGGCCAGTGGGCGCCACACTGCGCCCAGGGGTGGGGGAGCCGGGGCCGCCCCTCGGGGTGCGGAGGTGGGTCGGGGGCGCCGTGTGCCGCGCGGGCAGACCCCCTCGGCCAGGAGCGGGGGTGTCCAGCCCCCTCGCCCGCTCTGCTGCCCGCCCGGCTAAGGGCGCGTTGAGACCGGCGTCTCCGTCTCCATCTCCGTGGCGTCGTGCGTGGACCCTCTCGCGCGCCCCGTGTGCAGTCAGCGAGCGAGACCCCCCGCGCGGGGCCTTAACCAGGGGTTAATCTTTGCTCCGAGGTCGGAGGCGCCTGGGCTCGGACCCGCCTGTCCCAGGGTTCGCGCGGCTGATCGCTCCCCGGGGCGGCGCGGTGCTAATTAATAACCAGGCGTTGCAGGGGGTGGCGGGACGCCGGGTGCCTCTTGCCCCCTGTGGGCACTGGGACGGGAGCGGGGTCGGGCCCTCGTGATGCCCAGCTCCTGGCGCAGCTCGAGCGGCCTGCTCCCCGACTCCTGGGCTCGTGAGTCCGGTCTGCATCCCTGCCCCGCTGCAGGCTTCATGGCAGTGCCTGCCCACATCTACCCCTTGCAGCCCCTGACTCTAGCTGGCCACCCGGACCTGGTCTGTTCTGCTCCCCTGGGTTGCCGCACTCTGGTCGGATCCGCACCGCCTGCAGCCCAGTGGAGGAGAGGCCCTGGCAGTCCTTCCCTCTGCTCCCTGGGGCTCCTGATTGGAAATGGATCTTGGGAGCCTTCACTTAACCGCCCCCATCCCTGTGAGAGCAGCCCAGGCCACTTCCCAGCTCTGCCACTGCCCTCCTGTGTGTCCCTAGGCATGTCCTTTAATCTGCCTGCACCCAGGAGACGGAGCAGGACCCAGCTCCAGTTGGTTGCTGCCTCCTACTTTTTCTCCCGTCTGAAGTAGGTGGCCTGGTGCAGGGCTGCGTGTCCCCTGTTCCAAGTTCCTTGGGCACCTTGGCAGGACGCCGAGGATCCTCACAAGAGAATTGCGAAAGACGCAGCGTTTCCCAGGCAGTGATGGGGCTTTATAAGTCACTTTTTTTTTTTTTTTCAGCATTCATCCAGGGAATAATTAACTTTCTCTAAGACTCGGTGTGTGCGCAGCTGGCGAGCTCCAGCTAAGAGCCGACAGCTGGGACCGCGCTCACGGTAAGTCAGCTTGAAACCTCCTAGCCTGGGAGTTTTCAGCATGGTTGCTTTGCTGCCCAGAACATGGCAGCTCAGGTGTTGCTTGCTCCTGGCGGCTGTTCCCGGTGCTCAGATCCCAGGATCCTGCCCCTGCTCCCAAACATTAGCCCTTGGCTATCTCGTCCAGTGCCCCCGTCTCCAGAGCGCTGCAGGTACCGGTTGGTGGTTGCAGCCAGCTCTGGAGAGGCCAGTGAGTCTCCTCATTGCAAAGAGCCGTAAGGAAGTGGGGATGTCCCGGGTGGCAGTGAAAACCCTGCAGCTCCTGACTCCCAGGCCCACATCCTAGCCATTGCTGCCTCATTAGTCCACAAACACGATCCTACTTCGCGTTGACCCTGCAAGGATCGTGGAATAAGCAACGTGGCAGGTTCCCACTGGAAATGTTCTGGCTCTTCGTGAAGTCTTCGTGGCAGATGGAGCTTGTAACCTCTGCAGACCCAACAACGATATCCAGGACAGTTATAGGAGTCCGTGGGACTGGAGGGCAGCTGCAGTGTCTAAATGCCCTGCCTGGGACAGCGTCGCTGGCCTCGAAGGAAAGGATCGGAGGACTCATGCTCTTTCATCCAAGGCTGCAGGTTCCCCAGCGAAGCACCTGCAGCTGTGGGGGGCTTTAGGAACAGGGGGCAATGGGCTGTGCTGCGAAACGTTAAACCGAGGCAGTGAAGCAGTCAGGCAGGGAGGCCCAAGGGAAGGTTTCTTTCTTGGGGTTGCAGAAGTGCTGAGTCTGGCTCTGTATTCAGTATTACCCCCCAGCTGTGTCTTGGTTAGACCCGTGATTCCCACCCGGGTGCTGCAGCAGCTTGGGGGTCCCGTGAGATCCTTCACAGAATCACAGAAGTCGGGTCGGACGGGACCTTGCAGATCTTCAAGTCCGACCCCCCGCCTGGGCAGGAGAAAAACTGGGCTCAAAAGACTCCA